TAACGTTCTAAAAATTATATGGATTTCTTTTAGCATGGGAGGAATTCCTAGAAGATTTGTTGTTATAACACTGAAAGAAATCCATGCCTCATTTGTGGCAATCAATATTGGCAAAGAAAAAGACTTTCAAGCAACATGGTCAAATCTGTTTAAAATATTAAAGTTACAGTAGATCTTTAATTAGCCTCTCTTTTTCAAGATACACATTTGGTATTTTCCCATGGCTAGGACTTAATTGCATCCTCCATTCTAAAATGGGCATCTTCCATCTGTATAGCAAACTCAGGGGCTGAATAACATCCCACCCCGATTTTAAGGTGTCCTTTCTGGTATTCCCTTCAATCACATCTTTTCTCCAGAAAGCAGCAGAGCTCCTGTAAATGACCTTCCAGATTAGGGACTCTGTATTTACATTCAATTTCCAGTTCTGCGCTATCTGTAGAAAATGATTATCAAGGCATGAAATTAGAAGTCTCACCCAGGGGAAAACAATTGGATATTTTGTCCTTTCTCTATGGCTTCTTCTCTCTTATTAGTGGGAGGAAAGAAGCAATCACCAGAAAGGTCAGAAATATTTATTTACAGATATTGAGATGCTTTTACAGCATAAAATAATTGCTGCCTAGGATGTTGGTAACTAAGGAGGGCCAAGTGCGTGTGGCGAGCTGAGACAATGGGGCCTGAGGTGAGAACTTGGGGGGCCTAAAGACAAGTACCAGGACAGTTGCTGGGGAGTTCAGCAACAAGTAATCCCAACCCTCCATCCCCATAACAATCCTAGCAACAATGAAGCCTAGGTGGCAAGTGCCATCTATAAAACATTTTATATAAATTTTCTTTAAACGAAGTTGACATTGTATGAGTATGCCAGTTTTGCTTATGTAATCTCCAGTGCAGCAAAGAATGAGGAATATGTTACAAAGAAAGCCCCTTTTTAATTTATTTATTCAATTTCTCTTGGAACTATGCAACTCTTTAAGGTAGCTTCACTTCACTGAGATTTCATTGACAGCATCCTTTCAAAGTGAAGCCACAGACTGAAATGCTTCGTTACTCTTCTGTAGAGGTGGTGTGTAGAAGCTGCATTTGGCAAGGTGGGATGTTTCTCATGGCTTGGCCTCCGCCCCTCCCCCGAGTCTTTGCTAGGGCAAAACCACACACTCCAGGAGGCACCTTATCACACTGAGGGAAATTGACATGTCTCTGCAAGGGGGATTGGAAGCAATCTTTTCCACTTTGCTTCTCAGACAAGTATGTCAGGCAGCAAAAAGTTGAAAACAAGGCTAAAATCAGCTAGCAGTAAAGGGCCTGGCAGAAGAGATGTGTTTGTAAATGCAGAGAGAAAGGAAAAGCCAAAGGTGGGAGGGAGGGATGTACATTACATCACTTCAGAACAATGCCTCTCACAGGGGGAATTTAGTCAGGAAATCTTAATGGCCAGATTCATGACAGGAAAAATATCCCCTACTCAAGGCTCAACATGTTAAAATTGCAAATAAAGGAGAATATTTGTGACTCAGGGTTGAAATGAGGAATCTTTGGTGCTCTCTGAGCTTGATTATTTGCTTGCAGACGTTTCATTACCCAAAGTAGGTAACACTGTCAGTGTTCAGAGAGCACCAAGGACCCCTCATGTCAAACTCATCTTGATCCCATCCCTGCGTATTTTCCCTCATCTATCCTAAAGCTCCAAGCAACCTTCACCTTACTAGATTCATGCAGCTAATGAAAAGCACTGGGACCTAGAAAGAACCATATGGGACAACCAAAGTCACCAACCAAGGTGTCTCATATTCACTAGCAGCACCTTCTGAATATAGTTTGATAGGAGGACCAGGTCTGCTGCAAAACAATGTTGCCGTGGCTCTTTGTTCTGCCCATGGAGAGCAGAGGAATCACGAGAGTTAAGGCAACTTCAGTCCATTCATCCTTTTCTCTGTTAGAAAATGCTCCACAAGCATAATTTTCATCCCCTCCTGACAAACAAGTTTAAATCTACCCATGAAAGATATATTTCAGGTTATCTGCTGATCACCTCTATGCTAGGTAAAGGCACCTTTGCAGTTTTCACTTATTGACACTGATTTTGATGTATGTAAATTGTAATCAGTGATTCCCTAGTGAACAGAAATGTATGGCAAAGCAGTCTATTATGTAAAATGTGAAAGTCTGTTAAGATATATCAGAGTTAATAAAATATTCCTTTGGACCCTTCAGACAATTTATAAAGGTTGATTTGTTGTTATTAGAACTTAACTACAAAATGAAACAAATTACAGCAACTACATTAAGTAGAGCCAGATTTCAGCCTTGTTAAGAGAACCCTAAAAATGTATAGCTGTGACAGGAAGGCAGCGGAATTCACCAAAGAAAAACAATGCTGACATTTTTGCAGTTTCCTAGATTTTTTTCCATCCCGGATCAATCCATCACATGTTACTTTGCAGAAAAATTATGGGTCAATATTGTAGCCAATTTTTGCAAACTAACACATCTATACTGGAGGGTGGAAGCTCATTCTCCAAGTTTGTGGGTTGGTTTCCAAACGTTTCATTACCAAGGCTAGATAACATCTTCAGCAGAATTCAGGGAAGCCCTAAATCCCTAAATAGCCTGGTAACAAAATGTTTGGACGCCAACCCACAAGATCGGAGAACAAACCTCCAGCCTCATCCTATGCCCGAGCTACAGATATTCGCCACTATCGCCCATCTATACTTGTCCAGTGCTTTGGTTCGTCACTTCTTTTCTCCCTATTGCATCTATTACGTTTGTTCTGGGGTCTCACTGCAGTTAGCACAGTAATTCCAGATGACTGTTTTCAATTTAGTATGAAAGTGATGCTGAGTAAAGGCAATGTTTTCTGTTACTGTTCTAAACTGGCTATATATAGATAGTTCTTGTTTAGCCACTGCAATTGGGACCAACAACTCAGTCATTAAACAGAGTGGTCACTAAGTGAAAAATGATGTGACAGGAGCTTCTAATTTTACTTCAGCTTTCCTTTGCTTTATAGTAACTGAAAGATACAACTCCAAGCAGGCTGAACCCCAAAGAGCAGGAAAAATTTGACTCATGGGGAAGCTAAAAGGGCAAGTTTTATAGCCCCTGTATATTTATCCCCTCCCCCCTTATCCTTTGGAATGCTCAATCCAGCGCTGGGATAATTAGCAAGAAGGGAAATAATTACTTTCATTGGAGAGGAAGTCATCAGAGAGTAAGCAGACACACAATAAGGAATATACAGTACATCGAAATGAATGCACATCTGCAAATGGCTGTTTTGCCTACTGCACTGTGAGCTATGAGCTGCTTAAGAAGCAAGCAAACATCTTCAGTGTGAAATTGATTAGGATCTTGTCAATTTCAGGCAACAGCTGAGAGCCCACTCGGCCTTCTAATCAACCAATGAAGGTCACAGAACTGAGCTTGTTAATTTGCGGTTAGCACTTTTTAGGGACACCATTGCACTGCTGAGAAAAGCAGGTCAGGAAGGTGGCTTGTTTAGGCAATTTCTCCACTCTACAAAATATTTGAGGGGGAGAGAAAAAACAGGTCAGGCACAGAATGACATGTATTAACTGTCTGTAATGGTGAACATGGGACAGAGAGAAGGATGGTGTGGAGGCTGTAAATGCAAGCATTGATTGCAAAGTCACTGTTTCATCACCGTAGGTACTACAAACAGCTGCTATCCAAGGCAATTGTTAAACAAGAGCCTTCATTAATAAATTTGCCCCGTAGTAATATAATAGAAGACAACATCTCATCATCTGAAAAAATATTATCACCATTCACAGCCCTCAGTTCTTTAAGACTAGGGCTTTTTATAGGTTCTAAACCAGGGGTCTTCAAACTTGGCCCTTTTATGACTTGCGGACTTCGACTCCTGGAACTCCTCAGCCAGTGTGCCTAGCTGAGGAATTCCAGGAGTTGAAGTCCACAAGTCATAAAAGGACCAAGTTTGAAGACCCTGTTCTAAATATTTACTGTAAGAAACGTGACCACTGAATTTCAATTGTTCCATAACAAAAACCTTTGAATGGAAATCATAATTCATCACAAACTGTCTTTTCTCTGAAGAAATATCTCTAAAATTGGAAATGAACTGGAAAGAATAACAAATTCCATTCTACTGTATGGTTAAATCTTTCATAATATCAAGCTATTCTACACATCCTTTTTTGAAGTTTTTTTCTCTTTATAATAATGTGGAATTATAAAAAACAATAGAAGAAAGCAATAGTAAGTAAGCAGTAATAAGATTCCAACAAAGTTTAGATCAATTTAAAATTGATTTTTGAATAGATTTTCAGCCAAAGGAATACCTAGATAAAAGAAACTACAGATAGTAATAAAAAAAATCAGGTACTACCTCATTAAATTTCCAGTAAACACTAAATAATGATGTGTATATAGAAAAACAAAACTCTAATTTTTGATGGACAAGCTAACTGGAAGTCTTTATAATAGCTAGGTAATATTATTTTCAGTCACCATTTTTAATATTGGAAAATTGTATAGGGAAGTTAGGAAAATATATTGTTCAGAGTCCTATTTTTCTTTATGTAGGCAGTCCTTGAATTACAACCACAACTGAGCCCAAAATTGCCATTACTAAGCAAGGCAGTTGTTAAGTGAGATTTGCCCCATATCAGGATCCTTTTGACACAGCTGTTGAGCAAATCAGTGCAGTGAATTATGCAATTGTTCAGCAAATCTAGTTTCCCCCCCATTGACTTTGCTTGTTGGAAACCAGCTGGGAAGGTTACAAATGGTGATCCTGGGACAGTACAATTGTCATAAATACATGTCAGCTGCCAAGCATCTGAATTTTGATCACATGACCCTGGGGATGCTGCAATAGTCCTAAGTGCCTCACTTGCAATTCAATTGTCGTCATGGCTCTTCAGAGGAAAAGTCAGCCCAAAAGTGTCATTTCACAGATTTGTCACATTGAGTGCCTACATATATAAAACTGTTATTTGCTTTATTTTCAGATCGATAAGTATGCTCAGCGGGACCTGAAGAAAGGGCTTCATTTGTATGGAACTGATGGAAATATTGGTTTAACTAATGCATGGAGCATCATACAAACAGATGTAAGCTTGTACTTCTTCACTGTTCTTTCCCTTAATGCCAGCAGGTGCTACACACCTCCTACACACCCATTTGCCTGGCTTTGAATTTCCAATGGAGATAATTTAAGGTGGCTTTATTTAAGCATTTGCCTGAAAAAAGCAAATACCACTGCAATGTACCTGAGCTGGAATTAAGGCCCTGATGTTTAATGGATCTTTCCCTGGCCTGCTTTGAAATCTACAAATAAGGGGTTAATTTGATGCTTTGTTGCTCATCAGCATGCAGAGAGGCACACACACAGACAGACAAAATAAATAAAAAATCCCAGAAATAATTACAGAGCACAGGAGATACCACATTTCAGTCATCCTGCTAGCTAGAACATGAGTGATGCCAGAGAAAGTGAGACAAAGACGTTCACAAGCACTTTTCTTCAGTCTTGTTTGTTTCCTCTTTTGCATCCAAGGCACTACTGAATAGGTCAGCAGTCAAGAGAAGGAACATAGTTATTCTAGCTATACATTTGAGAATAAAAGAACCTGAGAAACATGAGGATCAGGGTTATGACTTTTTAATCAGCTTTCCATCTCACACAAAGCCCACAGAATGTAATTTGCAATTCATATGAATTTGAAACAATAGTTATAATAATATGAGCACAGGGAAACATGTATATATTTCCCTGCATACACACACACACACACACACACACACACAGACGTGTTTGTGTGTGTATTTGTGCATGTGTGTGTGTAATTTTTGTTCATGTGTCCCTGAACTCATATTGTTATTACTATATTGTTTCAATTCACCAATGAAAATTTGTGCATACAAATAAATCCTAAAGATTTCATTGATTAGCCAGCCCTGGAAATCAGAAGAATGAACTTCAACAGTTGAGACTTTGATATATATTAGATGTTGAGACCATTTTAGTCTCACTTTGTCCTTGTCCTGGCCCCAGAATTGCCATACCATTTGTTTCTACTGAAACATTTTTTACAGTAAAATTGATAATGGCTTAATAGGGTTGCAGCAATTTTATAGGTACTAATATGCTTGGGGGATGCTGCAAGCTTGATTGGAATATAGGCTCTAGTCTCTAAGTATGTTTTTTCTAGAGATCCAAAATTCTTACTATGGATTCTAAAACTCTTAAAACACTGTCCTGCACAGTTCTCAGTAAACCAAGTAAAACTTGTGTTGATTATGCAATAGCATTTCTTTGGTTGTTCTCTTAAAAATAGTGAAGTGTCCATTTTAATTTTAAATTTAGTCATCTATATGTACATGAGACATCTCAATTTGTTTCTGTTGATTAAAAAATAATTAAATATTCCTGTTATTGCAGCTATATTTCAGATCACCTGAATTAGCCAGTACTCTCCACTGGTATTTAAAATTGCTCCAGTTTTCATACAGTTCATCACTGGTTTAATACTGCTTTTGCATAATCTGCATAATGGGAATAGTTAATCACAATCCAAATAATTTGTTCTCTTTCCAGTTGAAGAAGCTACATTGTTTGTCCAAATGCCTCTCATCCATTTGTATGGATGTACATTCTCAATTCCAAATTGCTGTGACGTGTTACTTTGCACAAATAGAAGAAGGCATTAATTTTACGAATACCAAGATAGAAAAAAAAAATATGAGGGCACAGAAGATTAGTGACCTGCTCATCAGGACTCAGGGGCAGAATAGAAATAGATTTTCAAATATATTGTCGTAATATGAAGACTTTAATTTGTTGGCAGAATTAAATTATTAAACAACATAATTAGATTTCAGTTTTAAAATATTGGTTCTGTTGGATCTCCTATTGTAAATGTAGTAGGATTTCTTCAACCATGAGATAGAAGACTTCATTCCAATGAGCAGATAAAATCTAAATTTCCCAACTCACAGTTTCTCCGTATGCTGTTTTTCTTAAAACATTTGTCTGAAAAATAATTAAATAGGAACTAAATGTAACTGATCCCAATATTTTATATTCTCTGTTTCTTTTTCTTTCTTTTTATATGACTAATATGACTGCGTACAACTTGTTTATGTTGGAATGTAAATTAGTACACAGTTTTTTCTTCTCCCAATATTTTTATATGAATAGACAAAACAACAAAACTACAAAAGTTAATTTAAAGAGTCCCACTGTACTGTCAATTTTCCCCCATTCCCTGCTCAATTAAAATTTTGAACTGGAGAAGAATTGTACATAACTTGTGATACTTACCCATTTTCAGGCTAGGGTTATGCACCCCAAATATTCACATTCAGAATCCATTCATTGTGAGGCTTGACTTCAATAGTTAATAAATAACATAACTACCTTGGCATCTCTACAGAGAAAAGACTCAGATTTCCCATATATGTCGAAGTGTACTTGCAGGCAGGATCAAAGATCTGCTATTTTTCTCAGTTATCCCCCTTAGTCACTTCTGCCATGGGAAACTTGCTTCAGGCAATATTTGACAATAAAAGAATGCAGAGCTTTTGATTGCAGTCCCTTCAGAAAGGTTGGAGGGCATAGTTTTATGCATTAAGAAATCTACTTGCTTTGGGACAAGAGGCAAGGAATTCTAAAAGCGTGAAACAAAAAGAAGGGAATTTCACAATTTCCACATTTTTCTCAGCCTTAAAGGCAAAAGCAAATTGGACAATTTGAAACAATTCAGAATGCTAATTTGCCACATCCATGTGCAAGTAGGCAATTAAAATGTCCCAACCATCTCATCATTTGAGAGTTGGAGAACTGAACTAGGTAGTTATCCCACAACCCAATCATGCAATAATTGTTAGCTGCCCAGAGTCATGTGTATGAAATGGACAGCCGTAGAAACCTATTCAATAAATAAATAAACCCACATTCAGTGGGTGCTGCTCATTAATTAAATGTTATCTGGTTGGCATAACTGAAAGCAATCTATGAACTCACCTGCCCAGTTGCACAGTGTGACTACCTTTTTTTCAGCTTTGCAGAGTAGATCTCACAAAAGGACCTAGAACAATCTACAGATTGTTCTCTTTGTTGAAAACTAAGGTTCACATCCAGATGCTAAATAGCTACAATGGAAGAGATATAAATCAACATTTAACACGCTGATATTTGGAAAACCTGGCTGCCTGCAGTTTCAGTTCCCAGTTCATGACTTCATTAGTAAATGTCAAAGACAATTTCAAAACAGAGCATATAAGAATTTGAAGCCACACATCTTTACAAAATATAATAAAATTGTCATTGCTGTAACCCGAACACTTTTTTGGATGGTAATAACATTTTTGAAAAATAATACAACTGTACTCTGTAATGCTGGTAATATCATGACTTATGACAAACAATTTTCTGAGACATGTTTTTCTTTTCTTTTTTAAGTCCCCATGCAAAAAGAATAGTGGAAATGTTTTTCTTGGCTCTCCCCCCCCAATACACATTGATGTAATTCTAGTTCTCTTCACTTTTTGTAAAATGCATGGAACTTGATAAAAAATGTTGTCTTTAGTTTCCACACAGTTGAAGATTAGTTCTTTTGCTGTTCTGTTGTCTAACAATAGGACAAGACATCTACTTCTTTCAACAACTTTCCAAGCCATGTTGAATAGTTAGGAGCTGTGGTTCTCAATCTAGTCTTCACCACGAACCTCCTTTAAGTACCTTTTGTGGCCACAATTGATGGCCACGAACGCCCAAGACTTAAGATTTAAATCATAACATTTCTTCAAGCCTTTGCACCCCTCCCCATGACATGGCGGCCCACCAGGGGTCCACAGACCACAGGTTGAGAATCACTGGTTAGGAGCATTTCAGAATGAATAGGAATGTGGTGATAAGGCAAAGGCATTTTTTTTTTACTTTTTTTCTTTCCCATATATATTGTACCCTAATGGAATGTCTTAAAGAGTATAGGATTATCTGGAAGCAAAGAGATCTTCCTCTTATGCAATAGTTATCCATTGGATGTTCTGTTCTGATGTTATGATGGATGTAAAGAGACATAGGGGGTCTCTGATGCCCCTGGGCTCTCTGCTCTGATATAACAAGGGAATTGAGCCACCAGTACAGGTAGTCCTCACATCATGACCACTTGTTTAGCAACTGTTTGAAGTTACAATGGTACTGAATGTTTACAACCACTACTTAATAATAATAATAATAAAATTGGAAGGGACCTTGGAGGTCATCTAGTCCAACTCCCTGTTCAGGAAGGAAACCCTAGACCATTTCGGACAGATGGCTGTCCACTCTCTTCTGAATGTTGGAGCATTCACCGCTTCTGGAGGCAGGTTGTTCCATTGGGTTAATTGTTCTAACTTCAGGAAGTTTTTCCTTAGTTCTAGGTTGCTTCTCTCCTTGATTAGTTTCCATCCGTTGCTTCTTGTAGTTATGGCTGTGACAACCTCTCCACAATTATGTGATCAAAATTCAAGTGCTTGGCAGACTACTCTCAATTACGCTTAAATTCCTACCCACCTGTATCTGCCCCATCTCTGCCTTTTTGGCTTCCCTAGACTCTACTATCCTTGCTGTCCTGATCTTTCCCTGCAGCACCACAGCCCTGCACACCATCATCCCACCACTCTTCACTGCCCCAAGCTGAATTTTACCATCCACTTCCCAGTGCTGACAAGGTTTGCCCAGCCTGGCTATTCATGAGGTCCTCCAAAAGCCTTGCAAAGCCCTCCTGAGACTGCATATGGCCAGCTCATGAAGGGGCCAGGGTGGTCACACCTCATCAATAGCAGGAAGAAGAGGAAGGCAGGGGCAATGGAGTGAGGGGTGGTGGGGTTGCAGACCAGAGTGAGGGGTGACCAAAAGAGAAGAGATGGCGGGAGGGAGAGAGGAGACTGGGGGGAGTTGAAATGGAAGTGAATGCAGCAGGGCAGGAAAAGCATGAGATCATTGACTAACAACAGTGTGGTTCTGGCATAATGACCGCAACCGAGACTACTGGACCTGCCGTCACTAAGCAGTGTAGTCATGTGATGTCTCACCTAATGACCACTTCACTTAATGATGGAAATTCAAGTCCCAATTAGGGTCATTAAAGGAGGACTGCTTTGTAATAGATTTGGGAGACTCTAACTTTCTCAGGTAAATTAGCTTAATCTGGAGAAATTTACCTAATGTTTTATTCAGAAATGAATGAACTTGAATAAAAAGTATAATACTTCCTCTTTCCAGACGGGCAGTCCAGAAGTGTTCTGGCATGCTGGGCCCATTAAACCTGATCCTTAAAGGGCCTCTTGACTAAGGCTCCTTGTAATTCTCTTATTCCCCTCCAGTTCAGATGCTGTGGTGTCTCCAACTACACTGACTGGTTTGAAGTGTACAATACCACACGGGTGCCAGATTCATGCTGCTTGGAATTTAGTGAAAGCTGTGGTCTTCATTCCCCAGGGACCTGGTGGAAAGCTGTGAGTATTAAATGAAAATCATGAGTCAACTAAGAAGACTAGAATTTTTAGACTCTACCGGTGAAAGAAAAATGTCAAAGCTTTGCCTGTTTGCGACATGCTATTGTGCCCATCCTGAAGGCTGACTAAACCTCTAGCAGAAAGGCTATTCTGACTCATTCATCCTAATTTGGCATACTTCTCAGACAACCAACCAAGAGAAGAAGAGTCTTAATAAGTAGTTCACCTTTAAGTGTCAGTAGTAGAAGTGGGTGTGAGTATGCATGTAGATGAATGGTGGCCCTGTTATATATAAATTTATTATTGTATTTAGGGTGTATGAATGCGGAAATTTTTTACTTTTTATGTATATAAATTGAGTGTGAATGTGTATTGAGTGTTTGGGGTATGAGAATGGTGGAGTCGGGGGTGGAGCCTGGTACCCCCTCTGCTGAGTGCAATAGCAAAAGTAGGGGGGGCAGGACTTACCCTTGGGCTTGGTTTGTATGGAAAGCGAGTCCGGTCAGGAAGGGAGAAGGCTGGTGAGGGTGGGGGTATTCTGGGGAGGGGAGAAGGTCGGAGCATCCCGGTCATGACTGGGATGGGCAGATATGGCGGGAGCCGAGGGGCAGGCCATCTTTGGGGAACGAGGACTCGCTATGTTAGAGCGATTCCTTGTTCCGGCCCCTCAAAAGGCTCATCCTGTAGTACTGGTGACAGGGGAGTACAGGGCCCTAATTGTAGGCTGCTGTTGCTTAATGCCAGGTCCGTTGTCAGCAAAGCCCCCCTTGTCCGTGATTTAATATTGGACAGCGGGGCGGACCTGGCATGTATAACCGAAACCTGGCTGGGCCCTGAGGGGGGTGTTTCCCTCTCGGAGATGTGCCCGGACGGGTTTGTGGTGCTTCATCAGCCTCGACATCAGGGCAGGGGTGGGGGAGTGGCAGTCATCGCTCGGAAGTCCTTGAGCCCTCGTGGGATTCCTGCCCCGGAGGTTGTTGGGTGTGAGTCCCTCCTATTGAAGTTGGGTTCACGGGTTCAGTTGGGCTTGCTGCTGACATACCTACCTCCCAGCTGCGTTGCAACAGCCCTGCCTGCATTGCTGGAGTCAGTAGCCGGGTTGGCGGTGGAGTTCCCCAGACTTATAGTACTGGGGGACTTTAATCTGCCATCACTCAGCGATCGCTCAGAGGCAGCACAGGAGTTCATGGCTTCCATGGCAACCATGGACCTGACCCAGGTAATTCAGGACCCAACTCATAGGGGTGGTCACACACTCGACCTTGTGTTTCTCTCGGGGCAATGGAGACATGATCTGGAATTAAGGGGAATAGAGATCTCGCCCTTGTCATGGACAGATCATTTCCTATTGAGGCTGGACTTCAGAGCATCACTCCCCCATTGCAGGGAGAGGGAGCCGACTAGGTGGTTCCGCCCCAGACGCCTAATGGACCCAGTTCGGTTCCAGGAGGAGCTTGGGGAAAGACAAGAGGCAAGTAGATTGAAAAAGAGAGAGGGAAAGGAAATTTGGGGGATGAAATGAGGTGGTTCGCCTGGAGGAAAGCCAAGGGATATGTCTATGGAGAGTTTTAGTCATCCAGGTCATGGTTGTCCCAAGTGCTTTTTTCAAAAGGCAACTGGACTTTGTTTTTTCCTTGAAGACGTTTCACTTCTCATCTAAGAAGCTTCTTCAGCTCTGACTGAAGAAGAGCTGAAGAAACTTCTTGGAGGAGAAATGAAACTTCTTCAATGAAAAAACAAAATCCAGTTGCCTTTTGAAAAAAAGCACTTTTGGGAGCACAAGGATAGCATATAAAAACTTTATTTTGCCCTTGTGGTCTTTTTTTGTTTGTTTGTTTGCTTGTTTTTCCTAAAGTGGCTTCTTTCACTGCATGAATGCATGCAGACTATTGTCTGGAGATTCTCAGTCATCCAGGTCATGGTTGTCCCAAAGGTGCTTTTTCAAAAGGAAAAGCCCAGTTGCCTTTTGAAAAAGCACTTCTGGAGCATGCAGACTATTATTTTTCAGTTGCTGAAAATATAGATTTCTGTATTTAGCTGGAGGTTGGACTTGAGAGCTTACATGACCCCTCCTAACCCGGGATTTTTTGAAACTGCCCCTTTTCCTCAGCTCAGTGCCAAGTTGATGTATGAACAACAAGGTTATTTTGAAGTATCTTTAATAGGAACGATAAAGGCAGAATGAGAATGCCTGTCTAAATATTCTATGATCACGAAAAATAAGTTGAATTGCTATGACCGCTAGTAGCCATCTTAAATGATATTGGCTAATATATTGCATGTATCCTAATAGCTAACTCCTTGCAGTTGTTTCTTTGAAAACAATATTTGCTGAATATTGATTGTTGTAAAAATTAAAATACTCTTCTTATATAGACTAGAATTTTGAATAGCTACTCCATAAATTATCAATTTTTATTTAGCAATTTGCCAGAAACTCATCATTATTTAGGAATAAAAGAGACAAAAATTATTGATGGAGAATAAGGCCCTTCTAAATTTTGGAATCATTATGTGACTAAGATATCTGGCTAGTCGGAGCAGATGTTCAGTGAGTTAGGAAGATGTTTCTAGATAGAACTGGTAAATCTACTTGCAGATTTAAATCAATGGCCCACTGTTTAAGATCAGCTACTGTGTGTTCATAGCCTATGGTTAGAGTGATGGCTGGCCACAGAAAGGCATAAAGTTGTGATTTGGCATGTATTGCCTAGCACTAGGAAGATCAAAAGCTATTGATCATACTTAGAGGGACCACGCGAACTGATAAAAGGGATCTTAAACCAATAGAAGAAAATGAAAATCTAGGGGAAAATTTCTATTTGAAGTAGGCCAACTTCACAGCAAAACACCATGTTCAGAACACAGCGGGATACTTGAAAAATTAATCTCAAGACCTTGGATGGAACTCTTTCAAGGGAAAGGAATGACCTGTAGGGGCCCAACTGAGCTCCAGAAGGTAGCTGGGCTCAGATCTTGGCTAAAAAGATTTTAATCGCTGCAGGTATATGCTGAGCTCCTTTGAAGAAGTAGACAGATTGTAAAGCCAATGCTGTTTTTTGTGTGTTTAGGGTAACCTAATCGGCATGAGATTTTCAGTTGCCCATAGTAAGGAAAACAATCCCAAGATATTTAAAAGACTTGACTTGCTTTATTGAGTATTTAGCTTCCCACCATGCGATGCCATAAATTAAAAGGCTGCTTTCACTGGAACCAAAGGTTCTGTGGAGGACAGAATAGCTGTTTTCTCTGGTTATGTTTTTCCTTTTCTTTGGATCCTTTTCAGATCTAAGAATCTTCAAATATTGTTTTGGGGTAGAGGTTCCTTCCTTCTGCAGTCCCAGAGAATTCCATTCTCTGAATCTCAGGGTCAAGCTTTAGCATCTTCCAGAATGTGCCCAAAATGAGATCAGGAAACAAGAAAACAAGACTTTACAGTATAAGACAATACTGCCTAGTTTTATGTTGCCAATTCAGGAGATTGCACACACAACATCCAGTGCGCAGTGGTGATTGGCATCAATTGGCCTGTTGTCACAGCAGACAGTGATAAACTCTGGGGAAACAGCTCTGATGAAATAATCAGTACATAGAGGTTTTCTATAGGAGGAACAGCATCTTTCCCAAGGAACATTCCTGCCGTTCAGAAAGTACTCTGGAATCCATCCAGGAATACAAGAAATTACCAGGGTGTGGATAGAGTAATGGGCTTGGAGACTCACGTTCAACCACATCTCTTGTGAACACACTCAAAAAGTTATCTTATGCTGAAAAAATAAGTCCAAGGTGATCTGTCACAGGAATGTACCAAAACTAAAGGTAAATGCTACTGTTGATTCAATTGTCATTTTAAAAACTCTTGTCTTTATGAGTTGGGCCAGCAAACCCTCCTAGGAAATTATCAGTGCTAAAATTTAACATACTGACAGTGGGCCTAACATGTTAGAACACATGTAATGTCATCTGGTTATTTTGTGGTGGCTAGAAGGCAAGGTGAAGTATTTGGCTAATGATTTGTTTAAGCAATAATTGGCCTAAAATTGCCTTCTAAAATTCTTGCCAAGCATTTCTGTTTAAAGCACTAAGATTTACTATTCAATTTAGAAATGCAGCAGTCTGATTTGTAGGGCATACACGAGAAGCAGACATTCTTTTTTTTTTGTTAATGAATCTTGCACAGAGTATCCACTTGATCTTCAATTGTATAGTTTTTCAAGGCCTTTAAAGACATATTTCAATGCAAGCAAGTCCCTAGAGATGCTTTTCATCTTCACTGGAAAGCTTAAATTGACATTGCCGATTACCAAGGTTGATATGAGTTGTAGGTTCTCAGGTTACTTCCTTATAGCATATTTTTTTTCCCTCCAGCCTTGCTACGAAACGGTGAAATTATGGCTTCAGGAGAACCTGATAGCAGTCGGAATTTTTGGATTGTGCACAGCATTGGTTCAGGTAAAAGTTCCCCTTATTTACTTGGTGCTTTCTGTTTATCTTAGCAAGGTGAAGGATTTAAATGCATCTCAGTTTATCTTTCACAAATATAACCTGGTATTAATAGCAAACTCCTATAAATCTTTCTCAAAATGAAATTCCATTGAATTTATTCATTGATAACTTGGTCCAGGATTATAGCCTTACCTAACAGAACTGCAAGAAGATTGATCTAAGGAAAACTTGTCTCTTTATGTTGAATGCTGTTTTGTTTCCTCCTGCTTCTGTGCAGACGTGCAAACATCAACAAGTCATGGATGTTTAATGATCCTTCCTTTGTTTAATTAGAGTATCTGATGATATAAAATAGCAATGGTTTCTCCATAAAGTTGGTTAAGCTTAAGTTAATGGAGAATAGTAATTGACTTATTGTGCCTTAGCTTAAACTGTAGGAGATCCCTCATAATGAATTTTTATTTGGAAGCAGGGCTGTTCAGTAATTACCGTATTTTGACTTGATCACTTCACTGCCTCTTACACTTTAAATCTTTTCCTCTAATCCTCAGAATGTTGTTCTGAGATCCTAAGAACAGTATAAAACTACTTAAAATTAACAAACAAGAACCGTGATTAAAATCTCTTATATTGTACCACATTTGAGCCAAAAAAACAGGCAAATATGATGTTAACATACAGCCCCAACGATTTAAACATGTCATCACCATTTAGAATTAATCCTGTAGGGTTGTATGATTTTTTCCTCTCTCCAAATTAATGTCGCAATTTAATACAGAAATAAGGAAGCTAATCCTGTTAAAATCAGTGGATTTAAGTATGCCCAACTCTCCAGAATTAGAGTAGATAAAATACATTTCTACTTTGTAATCCTCTGTTATTTTTATACCTGATTATTTGTCATGGTTTTCCCAGAAAATAGTAGAAAATGAAAATTAGATATAGAGCTGGCCATTCTCTATTAGAGTTCCATAACACATTTCAGAAAATTGCAGTTTTCCAGGATTTCTCAGCTAAAGGAAGTACTGTACTGTACATCAGCCTTTTGGTAGCATACAGTCTTGTGCAGATTATTTACAGTATTTGCACAAGAAGAAGCCTATAAACCATAATGGACACACAATCATAACTTTGCACAAAGCAGAGTAAAGGAAGACAGGCCATGTAACAAATCCTTACTTCTTCTGTGCATGGGCAAAAAACTGAGGAGGAAGTTTGGCAGACAGAATATGGAGGGTTTAGCTGCCCTTTGGCAATGTCTACAGATGGAGTCAACACTTAGCCTAACTATTGCCCCCAAAATACTCTTTTCTCTGGGCAGAAAGTCCACAAGGAAGCAAGATGCCCAAGCACAATAATGGCATAGATAGCCAAACTAGATAAAAGTAGATGGAATCAAGGAGAGAACCATCCTAGAATTAAGAAGTTTCCTGACAGAGATTCTATGGAGATTCTCAGTCATCCAGGTCATGGTTATCCCAAAGTTGCTTTTTCAAAAGGCAACTAGACTTTCTTTGTTTTTCCTTGAAGAGATTTCTCTTCTCATCCAAGAAGCTTTATTCAGTCAGAACTAAAGAAGCTTGTGGGATGAAAAGCGAAATGTTTTCAAGGAAAAACAAATTCCAGTTGCCTTTAGAAAAAGCACCTTTGGGATGATAGTTAGAACAATTAATCAGTGGAACAACTTGCCTCACGAAGTTGCGGGTGCTTCAGCCCTGGAGGTTTTTAAGAAGGAATTGACAACCATTTGTCTGAAATGGTATAAGGCAGTGATGGCAAACCTTTTAGAGACCGAGTGCCCAAACTGCAACCCAAAACCCATTTATGCATCATCGGGTGCCGGGTGGGTGTGGCCCATTGGCTGAGTGTGGCCAGTTGGGTGGGTGTGGTCCATTGGGTGGGCGTGGCTGCGGTGGTAATGGCAGACTGGGTGGGACTAAAAAGTTCAACCAATCAGTTCCAACTTTGCAAGATCTTTTTTTTTCCCGTGAGAAGTTGAAATTGACTGATTGATTGAACCTTTTTTTTTTTTTGTACACGGTGGCGGAGGCCTAAAGCGAAAAGGTTTTATAAAACCCAGCTGAAGGCCTAGGACTGGGGCAATGGTGCACGTGCCCACAGAGAGGGCTCTGAGTGCCGCCTCTGGCACCGTGCCATAGGTTCACCACCACTGATATAGGGTTTCTTGCCCAAGCAGGGAACTGGAGTAGAAGACCTCCAGGGCTCTTTCCAAATTTGTTATCCTGTTAGAAATGAGAGAATGGAAAGGGGCGTTTGCCCCTCTGCCAAATTATCTAATCTAAAGATTTTTTTTTCATCAATATTGAATAAAGCTACGATTGCGTTAGAATCCAGGTTTCTTTCCTCTCTTTTCTCTTTGATTGTGAAGAAATTTCATGACTGGCTTTCCATTAGGTTAGCCCCAAGTTGAGTATGCCCTGTTGATTATGGAGGGCTGTTTTATGTAAAATTGGTGTGCCCTGGGGGGGGGGGTTGGGAAATTCATTACCCCTTCTGGATCCATAGTGTGCAACTGTGCATATCATTAAAGAATAGGGATACAGTTGCATGCTGTTTAATCCTGATAATGATTTTTGTATCTACAGATTCTTGGACTGACATTTGCAATGACCATGTATTGTCAGGTTGTCAAGACGGACACCTACTGTGCATAAAAATCATCTTCAGGGTCCGTCAGCCACTTCTCCCCGAGATGAAAGAGAGGACCCTCCATCCTGTTGTCATATTTTTTCTATGTAAAATAAACTGCATCATCCTCTATGGGAAAAATTGTGGATCACCCTAGTTTTGTCACACCACTCAAATGGTATCATCGTGGGAACTCAGACTTGCTCCAACAAAATAAATTCTTCTCTCTAAATGACAAGAAAACAAAGAAAGGAGCAGCTCTCTTTTGCACAGACTGTGGTTTAGTTCGAGGCTGAGTTTAATCTTTTTTCTCTCTCTCTCTCTGCAGGCTGTTGACAAATAGAAATGTTCCATCTAGCCCTATTTCATCAGTCCTCAAATTATAGGGAGCCCTTTCTCATGATGATAGAGAGGATGTGAAACAGCCATTTCTTAGCATTTGGTTTTAGCCAGCTTAGCACCTCAGCCCTGGGGGCATGCGTTGGACTCTCAGAATTGTGTCACAGAATGAGAGGTCTTTGGGGAAAGCTCGCTGGAAGAAATGGTTTCAGATGTCAGGTCAGATCTGGCTGTAAACAGAACTGGAATTCTTACTCTTTAAATCAGTGTAATAACATTCAAGTACTAATGTCTGAATACATCCATATAGATACACACTGATCATTCTAGCAACTGCCTACAAAGCACACCAGTCCTCTCTTCCTTTGTATTCCAAGGGACCATGGAGTCAAATGGAAAGATCTCCTAGAAAAGAAAGTTTGGCCACTGAAAAACAAGCAATTACTTCAAACAGATTTATTCTTCAGTGAATATGTAATCACCTTTCTGTCACTGTCCTCTGGATTTTCTTTTAAGTGTCATTCCAGTTTTGGTGTTCCATGTGTCCTTCTTTTCTGTAGTTGGCCCCTTCAGCTCTTTGCCTTTTCTTTAATTTGCTTTGTCACATTTTCACCTTTAAATAGGATAGATTCACTAGTGGGGAAAAAGCCCATGCTGTAAACATGCGTTGTAGTTGCTTTTTAAAGAAACAAATTACTCCAAGAAGGGATTGGGAAGTTTGAAGAAATTCCCCACTAACCAAAAAGGTTTTAAACAGACATTCATTTCCCTTTTTTTCGTTTTTGTCTGCATTAACATACATAGAACAACATGCAGGAAAAGATTTTCAAGCACATTCCCATCACTGCTTACAACCATAGGCTAGTGAAAGGCTAGCGTAGATTATCTGCTCGCCATCTCAACAATGAAGATTTAGATCAAAACATTTGGCTTTGTCTGTCCTGCTGTAGTTAATCATATATGATCCAAAATGAGTGGGTTATCAGTGTAGGTGAGCACTAATATGTGTATTAATACATTCAGGCTGATAGAAGATTGACTTAAAATGCATAATTGAAAAAGAAATTATATACCTTTAAATCTGTGGCTAACATAATTGGAAGTGTTCCTGATCATGATTATATTGTTCATGATCTTAATGTCCAGTAGAATTTAAGGTCGATGTGTATACATTATTAGTCCCCTCAGAGGCCATCTAAAGACAGTTCCCTTCCCTTCAGCAAAGGGACATTAATTCAGCCCTTTCTTTTCTTTCCATCCTTTTATGAACAGTAGATCATTGTTTATTTTTCCAGTAATGGAAGCTAATGAGCCGTGTTAAAGCATCAGGCTAGAAACCAGAAGATGGTGAGTTCTAATCCTGCCTTAGAAGCAAAGCCAGCTGGGTGACTTTGGACCAGTTGTTCTGTCTCAGACCGAGGAAGTAGACAATGGCAAACCACTTCTGAATTCTTGTGAAGAAACCTGCGGGGACTTGTCCAGGCAGCCACCAGGAGTAAAAACTGACTCAAAAGCACCCCCTCCCAAAAAAGGAAGACAAGAATATGCAACCCTGTGTTGAGGCCTGTAGGTTTATACAAGTTATTTTCCCCTTCTTTAGTATTCATGGTTTTTTGAAGTGTATAAGAATGAAAGTTTACAATTACAAAAAGAGAGTCAAGCATATAAATCAAGGCCAACTATGTCTGTAAAGCCTAACACCCTTAACTAAGAGGTCCCTCTGCAAAACTAAAATTTCATGAGTCCATGCAATGTTTGTGTGTTTGTGTGTGTGTGTGTTGATCTTACATCTGACACATATACTTGACTGAAGACAAAGCAGCCAATTTAGGGTACAGTATTATCCATTTAAACTGTATAAATTGCTTCAATACAAACTTTTAATACACAAAGAAAAAACATGAAATGTGACAATATGTTGACTATGATAAGAAATCTAGAACATTATTCTCATTTTCTGTAAAGAAGCACTACCTCAGGGCTATAATTCAAAAAAGAACTAGTATAGGTTAGGATTTGACCCCTGGACCAACTGGTACCCATGCTCTAGAGAAGTGGTCCCCAACTTGTTTGGCACCAGGGACTGGTTTCATGGAAGACAGTTTTTCCATGGACTGGGGTGGGGGAGGAGCGCACAACCTAGATCCCACGCATGGACAGTTTCACTTGTCCGTGCTCACCTCCAGCTGTGCTGTCTGGTGCCTACAGGCCGTGGACCGGTACTGGTCTGCAGCTGGGGGATTGGGGACCCCTGCTCTAGAGCAGCATTTCTCAACCTTGAAACTTTAAGATGTTTGGACTTCAACTCTCAGAATTTCCCAGCCAGCATGGTTGGCTGAGGAATTCTGGGAGCTGTAGTCCCACTTATCTTAAAGTGGCCACGATTGAGAAGCACTTCTCTAGAGCTTATCAATTAAGATATTGCCTACCCACATTCATAAATGAGTGAACAGTAATAAGCTGTCCAGCAGTAGCCAATTTTGGCAAATATGTAGAAATTCCTATTCCATCCTGCAGTTGACACTTTTGATTCCTCTTGTCCTATTAAATGTGCATACAAGGGAGAAGTATGACTTTAAGCAATAATGTACATGCTATTTTCCAATTCTTCTGTGGTTTTGCTGCTTTCCCCTGTACAGGAACAAAGAGTGACTTTGAAATTCCATTGCTGTTAGTTGTCATTGCTCATTACCTTTGACTGTTTTACAAGCACCTTACTGACAGCTTTTAGATTGCCATCTCTGAAGACCAGTATCATAAAATAAGGCAATACAAATGAAACATAGGTTCTAAAAGTAAAAGATGAGTTCTAAAAAAATATTAAAATACTCCTGAATAGCCCCCCTTTATACAAATAAAAGTAGGTGACTCAGCAGATTACTCACAGAAATTAAGTCACAAGTGAACAGGATGGGAGAATCTCAGCAGGGAATAGGTAAGCATTAATCATTTCTTAACACTCATTCAAAAAGAAAGAAACTAATAACATAGCTCAATAATTAAACAATAACTTCAAAGGCTTCCTGAATTTTACAGGACAAACAGTAACAAATGTTTCATAGTTTGGATATCTAGATGAATAGCCTTGCTGTCTATTTTGTGCATATTGGCCATTCATTACAAAGATGGGGGGTTTGCTTTTTCTGCAACATCACAACAAGATAGGTAGGCTTCACACTCATTGAATCTTTGTGTTTAGAAGGCCAAGATAATTCTAAGCTGGGATTTTATTTTCAGTACCCAAACTGAACCAGCTAATAATGTTTTCATATTTAACCTTATTACTTATTAAGTTTATAGACTGCTTTAATCACTAATGGCATGTGAAAGGCTACTCTTTGATTTCTAAGACTTTATTTCAGGAGATTAATTTTAATGAAAAGACTATTTTCTTGCTGAGTCGAGGTGGCACAGCAGTTAGAGTGCAGTACTGCAGGCCACTTTAGCTGACTGTGTTCAGCAGGTCAGCGGTTCAAATCCCACCGGCTCAAGGTTGACTCAGCCTTCCATCCTTCCGGGGTAGGTAAAATGAGGACCCAGATTGTTGGGGGCAATGTAAATATATATATACATTGCTTACTGGTGTACACCGCTTAGAGAGTGCTTGCACTTAAAGCGGTATATAAGTCTCATAAATAAATAAATAAATAAATAAATAAATAAATAAATAATTGGAACCTCTTTTTGGGATATTGTAGGTCACCTAAATATCTAGCAACAGATTCCAATCTCCCTTCTACATACTGGCAATATAGCAATTCAACACCTATTGGGTAACACTAAGTTAAAAGAACACCATCACATTAATAACTTTAAGTATCTTCATAGCAAGTATCTTTAAGTATCTTCATCACCATCACACTATCCAAAGCGGAAGCTCTTCTTGGTTCACAGGACATTTGTCATGACAAAGGCAGGTGCTGAAAATCCAAGGAACATAGTTATATAATGAAATACTTAGACGTTTTTCTTTAATGCTGTTAAAAGTACCTGTACAGGACAGAATGCAACATAGAGAGCCTTTACTTTAAAACGAAAGGCTCTACAGTATATCATGGGGAATTACTTGCTTATCAGAGCTTTCTCCTTGTGCACATTGAAAAAACCTTGGTGCTAAAGCAAATCCTGGCTGCCTGTAATACAGAAAGCAAACAAATTTAGGAAACCATTACCAGCCATCAGACTAGGGACCTGTAACTAACACAACTACACTCATTATGCTTCATTAATTGGTCACTCAAATCCCTGTTTTGTGTGTGTGTGTGTGGGGGGGGTGTTTTTAGGGCAGCAAATAATTGAGCCCGAATAAGCAACAGTAAGCAATTCTTACAAGTCTGATCAAAACAAAGAAATATTTGTGATACTTTACTAATACTTTAGTGACGTGTATTCCAGGCAGCATTCAAGAAGCCTGTGCAATTCCTTTACTACATTACAAGCACAAGGCTTTATGACCAAAGCCATGTATGATCAGCTGTGCAGCCTGCTCCCTAAAGGTTCAGGTTTGGGTCCAGGATGCTTAATTTCTGTTTCATGGCCCAAAGACTTAAAGTCAATGCAAATTAAGGATGTAGAAATGAGTTTACATTTCTGTCTTACTTGCTAGGAATGTGACTTTTGTCTATTGTGAATATCCCTAAAATGATGTGTACTTTAATATACTGTAAAATAGCTATTAATAGCTACCTAGGTTTGTTACCTATGGGAAGAGGCTGGGAGAAGGAAGGTTCAGCACAGCTTAAATAATAAGTTTCTAATCTACAATGTGGTTTTTCTAGCACATTGTTTTAGGATCTTTCAGTTTGCCATATTGAAAGGTACATTTGTCACATATGCTATGGAAGAACATGCACCTTAGAAATCCAAGCATAAAGACTTCTTTAAAATTGTGCAATGATGTTGCTGATAGCACAAAGTAACTCCCAGGAGTCAACACAACCACTGGCAACGGCATCAGGAGGACACTCCAGGATTGGGATCACTAAAGATGGGGCAACTTAATGCTCTCCAGTTATAGCCTTTATGTAGGTGGACTGTGATGGGACTTTGAACTCCAGAGATCTGGAAGGCACCCATTTAGAAAAGGCTGGATTGGAATGTAATAATCATGTATTGAGATTCATCAGAATAACAGTGTATAGCAGTCCAAGTTTTTTAAAGACCATGAATGACACATGCAAGCATATTCACTGCATGATGTCCCATAGATCTCAGTGGAATTTACTTCCTCAAACTGATGCACAAGACTGCAGCCTTCAAATCTTAAAAGCTGTTTTCCAGATTATGTCAGGCAAACATGAGTTTGCTACAGTGGATACCCTTGACTAAAGCTCAAATCTAGATGTGACAAAGCATCAATCCATCCCTGGCTTTATCCTGCGCATTTTTAAACATCAACAACAACAAAAAGCAACATCAGGAAAACCACAGGGTGAGAGAAAGATGCTGCTCTTTTCTCTTCAGCTATTTTGTTACCTTAAAAATTGCCACCCAAATATCTTTCTTCTCTGCACTAGCCACTATACTTACCCTACACAAGACAATCTGTTTAAGATAGAAGCACATTCTGAGACAAGAGAATGAATGGCTTTTCCCATTCCCTGATCTTCACTACCACACAAACACTGGTTGCGCCTTCAAATGTTCAACCTCTCAAGTCTGAAAATCCAACTAAAAATCCCAGGCAAGTTACCTATTCAGATACAAGTCACATCCAGTTTATGTCAGAGATCTGCAGCCACCATCTTACTCATGGCTATGTATATATTTGCAAATCATTTGGTATTTCCAGATAAGCACATAGAAACTGTATAAAACATAACGTGAAGATTTCCCAAAGTTCTAATGATGATGTGAGAGATTGGAGGACCTCTGCATCTCCCGTCTACAGTTTTGTAAATGTTGCTCTCCATTTTACAAAATGTTTTTATTATGTGGCTCTACTTCTTTTCATATTCCAGTTTTCATATAACTTTTTTTTAATGTTACCTGTTACTATCCATTGTAGTTTTTCTTGGTTCCTTGGGTATTCTTGCAGCAGGAAAAGGGAATGGTATATTTTCATGCACCTCATAGGAAAATAAAGCTATACATTATTTTTTAAAAGCTTATTAAATATTCTTTAAAGTTTACAGCAGATTGTGTTTTGTATTCTTTAATATTTCTGTATACAGTACTATTAATACTCTTACTAAAACACTTTCAAGTTATATTTATGTGGGGGAAATACTCAGCACATTTTCTCTATATTCATTTTGTTCCTATTTGTGCGATGGTGGCGGGTGCTACAATAATTTAGTATTGTTTTGTATGAGGTCAATTTTTCATTGAATACAACCTGCTGCAATTCAATTTTATGGCTTAAAAATTACAAAACTTGGGTTACTGCACTTACATGAACCTGTAAGAATTTGTTTACACCCTTTGAATAAAATTGGTTTGGAACTTCTCTGGCCCACTCTGTGCTGACATTTATATGGTTGCATATTTGCTATATTTTAAAGCTCCTTCACAATCAAACATTCTTATGTGTGTGGTTTTAAGAGATGCATCACTGAATAGTTCAGGATCTTAATAAAATTAATAGTTAGAGTATTTAAAAATATATTACGCCTGGAAGCTGCATAAACAAAAAATACCAATATAACCGTACAAATAAAATGCAGCTTTATAGAAAAAGGATACCATCTCAAGTATCAATGATGGAACTCTTAGGAGTTTCGTTGCATTAAAGCAGGGATGGGGAACCATGGCCCATGCTGGCTCAGGAATTCTGGGAGTTGAAGTCTACAAGTCTCAAAGAGTGCAAAGAAGAGCAACAGAGATGATTAGGGGACTGGAGGTTAAAACATATAAGGAACAGTTGCTGGAATTGGGAATGTCTAGTTTAATGAAAAGTAGGACTAGGGGTAACATGAAAGCGGTTTTCCAATATTTCAGGGGTTGCCACAAAGAAGAGGGAGTCAAGCTATTCTCCAAAGCGCCTGAGGGCAGGATAAGAAGCAACGGATGGAAACTAACCAAAGAGAGAAGCAACCTGGAACTAAGGATAAATTTCCTGACAGAACAATTAACCCAGTGGAACAATTTGCCTCCAGAAGTCGTGAATGCTCCAACACAAAGTTTTTAAGAAGAGATTGGACAACCATTTGTCTGAAATGGTATAGGGTTTCCTGCCTGAGCAGGGGGTTGGACTAGGTCCCTTCCAACTCTGTTATTCTAAGTACTTCTAAAGGCCCATGGCTCGCCACCTATACATTAAAGTGTAGTAAATAAAACATACTTGGTTGATGATTGAATATTTTTTTTTTTTTTTACTAAATACTGATCCAATAATCCACTGAATGGGATCCTCAGTTTGGAGACTAAAACATATGAAAAACGACTGCAGGACCTGGGTTTGGCTAGTCTAAAGAAAAGAGAAATAGGGGCAATATGATAACAGTATTCCAGTATTTGAGGGGCTGCCACAAAGCACCAGAGGGCAGGACAAGAAACAATGGCTAGAAACTGATCAAAGAGAGAAGCAACCTGGAATTAAGGAGAAACATCCTAACAGTGAGGACAATTAACCAGTGAAACAGCTTGCCTTCAGAAATCGTGGGCGCTTCATCACTGGAGGTCTTTAAGAAGAGATTGGACAGTCACTTGTCTGAAATGATATAGGTTCTCTGCTTGAGGAGGAGGCTGGACTAGAAGACCTCCAAGGTTCCTTCCAGCTCTATTCTATTCTATTCTATTCTATTCTATTCTATTCTATTCTATTCTATTCTATTCTATTCTATTCTATTCTATTCTATACAATCCTATCCTATCCTATCCTATCCTATTGTGTGTGCGCGTTTGTATTAAGGATTTTATATTTTTATTAAGAGCGTAATTAAGAATTTTGATTGTAATAAAATCTATTACGTTTCTTTAAGTTTGATTTTTATATTATTTAAGTTTGAGAAGTTTATTTAGTTTAAGTTACGATTAATTTTTTCTTTCATCCCAGATTACCTGGCATTTTCAGACTTCTTAGTCCAAAGTTCTCTAATAGTTAGATGTAGTTAATGAGCAATTTCTGAAAATGATTAGAAAGTGAGATTTGAGAATTTAGTGTTCTTTAAGATCCTTCACAGTTGTTAGCAAGATGGCTAATCTTGTCATCTCCCAATGTTCAAACCCACAGTCTCCTTGCAGGAAGCAACCTACTGGAGCACACGTGAGTAATCTCCCACCTTCATCTGAAGTGGTTCCAAGGAACTGTCCTACTTACTGTTTTTTTTGGTCTTTGCTACAGTTGTCAGCTCTGCATTTGCAGAGTTGTCCTTCCTATACCTCCCCCAGAAGTTCAAATAGAGCATGACCTCAAGTCATTGTGTTAACTTTTTCCCTTTCCCCTGAATCAATTCTAATCTGTCAATATCTTTGTGGAAATGGGTACCCAGAATTATGCTTAGCAATCATTGTCTTGTCTTCAGAAGGCTTACACACAAATTATTTTAGTATCTGCTATACTATACAGGTTTTGA